ACTGTTTCAGTCTAAGTTTAACATATAATCTAGGCAGCGGAGTTGCCCCACCGGCCCAAGTCCGAGCATAAAACGGGGCAACTGATGACACTGTGAGCGGTGGCAGATCTTCTGATGTCAGTTGCAACAAACAACAGTACTGCCTCGGCAACAGACGCACTATGGGCCCCAAGAAGGCGATGTTAATTCGCATAGATGATTAAGCAGTCTTACTCACGCAAGGAAAACAATAGGTCGCTCTTACCTAAGGTATTTCTACCGCCTTCTTAGCATGCCTTTGGGGTATAATGGTCAGCATACTCGGCACGTATTCGAGTGGTCCAAAGTTCGAGTTCCGTCGAGGGCACTGCATATTTTTCATGTGTCCTGCTTCCAAATAACCTGATGTCTCTACGACCTAACCTAACATTTTTCACTTGAAGAAAAGCTCGTGACTGACGGTTGCCTTGAACTATACTATCATAAAAGGTGGAGAAAGTAAGTTAAATAAGTTCTGCGTGGTGAAAACGACATACATTGTGATCACAAATAGAGGAGAATGGTAATGGTTATGAAGTGTCGTTTTGAAGAAATAGACTATAGCACATGTGAATAATACTTTACAGCTATTTAAATGGAGAACTACAAGGAATTTTCAGGCATTACCTACATAGCAGTTAGAAATAAAAGAAAGCGGTGTACGCTATTGAGTTCAGAGTTAGTGCATGTTGGTGTACATGTGTACTATGACAACTAACTGCTTTACAGTCATCTGAAAACTGCTCCCAATATTTGATACTCGTCTTAAGCAAGGATTCTCATGAAAAGAAACTAGTACGCGTCTTGTATATCTGGAAGGAGTACCTCAGAAAGAACAGCCGTGAACAGTAATCTTCAGTACAGTTGATTTGATTTCCAAGCTAATAAATATCTTGTTCTCGAAGCTGAAAATATCCGCAGAATCTCCATCTAAATCCAAGCAAGAAAAATAACAACGCAAAAAATAAATAAATAAAATAATAAATGGAAAGAATTACAATGTCAAACTTTGTTTCATTTTACAGTATAATTTCCAGAAGCTTAAAGTTTAAAAAAATGTTTCAAAAATCGCATATATGCATTTTTAATTTTTTTTCCAATATTTTGAGTTTCAAATTTTTGCACGAGGTTTCCAGTCAGACTTAACGTTTAAATTGACTAAATAATTAAATTAGCCTAATAGTTCAGAATTCAATCCTCCATGATTTTAAGATATGGAATATAAAATCACGCATTAAAAAATATTAAAAGTATCAATATCCATGTTGAAGAAAAAAATGCCATGATTTATTCCATCATTAATTATCGATAAGTGAAGTCTTAAGTGAAATTAAAAATTAATTTATTCAAGACATAGCTGTACATATATTTCTTTGATTCACATGTGCACGGGCTTGCAGCAATTATTCCCTTAAAGTGGCAATACTTTTTTTTGCCAGAGTAGATAATCCACTTACTGAGAAAAATAAACATCCATTCGAGGCGTTTAAAAGATTTCAGAATTATTTAGAAAAAAGAAAGGGGAATAGCCATCGCCTCAGTCTAAGCTGTCTGTTTCAAATGCTGACTTTGTTTCCGGAAGAGTGATTGAAAAATGATCTGATCTATGTCTGGAGACCGAAGGCATACATGCCAGACCAAACTACTGTTGTTCTTCTATCTTACGGATGAATACGTTCTGTTATATAAGATTTCTGCAAGGCTGAATAAATTGTGTAACGCTTCATACATTGCCATGGTAATTCGAAGTTCCCAAGGGAGGAAATGTAAAACTTTTTGCAGGATTTTTATAATGTAATTTTTATGACATCCGATTAGAGTATTTAAATTAATAAATAAAACAGTCAATTTACAAAGGAAATAAATTAAAAAATTCGATATTATTTTATCAGTAATCCATAATCCGTGTCTTCAAAAAATTTCGTATAGGTGCTAATATTTTAAATATTGATCCTGTGCACATAATTACAATTAAAATGTTTCTCAAAATTCGATACAAAATTTTCTGAAAATTATTTAAACATAAATATTTAATTTTTTGTAACTCCACGAAATGTAAATTCTTAGATATTGAAATTTCCATAAGTTCTAACGCATTAAATATAGGAGAATTTTTTTACTTGTTCGTAAGTCTCAATTAAATTCAAGAATGATTTTATGATTTTATTACGTTTTTAGCCAATTTCAGGCAGCAGCTTCTAGAATTACTATTTTCAGAAATTAACAACCCGTATTTGGCAGTTAAATATTTTCGGAAATTAACATCTCATATTTGACAGAAATATGTTAGCGCATTATGTATTCTTAAAATTTTAACCGAACCCACGAAAATGCTAATTCTCCATAGCTTAATACTGTACTTTAAGCTATGATATTTGCGTAAAGTTAAGTAGCAGTGTAATTAATGCATGATTAATTAGAATTTTTCCAACAACAGGCATGCAAGAAATTTTAGAAAGCCATAGCTCATGTTTAGAGACTATTACCACTTACGGTATTGGAAGGTATCTGTTTCCATTAAATAATGAATAAGATTCTATAATTTTATTACTTTACTCTTTTCAACCACATACCTCATTTTCATATTCTTATATAAAATAATAATTATTTTTTGTTATATTTTTGAAAAATCAAAAATGGTTGATCTTTTGTCATTTTTTGAGTAAATAAAAGTATTTCACCTTTTTAAAGTACATCCTGCACAAAAAAGAAAGAAAAAAATGTTCACACACACACACAAAAAAAAAAAAAAAAAACGGTCACTCTTATTTGTAAATATATAGATACAGTCATGAGCGAAAAAACTTAACTAAGGGCTTGCTATTTATCGAAAAAAAAAAAAAAAAAAAAACGAAATTTCAAATTCTAATTAAAATTTTTACGTTTTAGAAAACCAGAAATTACAAGTAACTGCACATAAACAAGAAAACATTTCAAAATTATTTAAAAAAAGTATTAAAAATTTTCTTTCAGTAAGTATTCACTATGTACTCATTTTTCAGCGAAGGAATACTTAAAATTCATCGCAGAGGAAGACCTAAAAATTTCTCTCATGCAAATTTAGCTCTGTTTGACCAACGTTGCTAAACCTAACGGATTTTGACTCCATTTTACACAGAGCTGGGTTAATTATTATCCAAAATAAGACTGTGCATTAGCGAAAAGGGCAAAACAAAAATGTCACTGTGAAGTCAAAGGAAAAGTGCATCACAGAAAGATCATTGCGAAATCAAAGAGAGAGGATCACTACAAAAATGTTCCATTGCCGAATTTACCATAAAATGATGCCGCTAAACTAAGACTGAAAGAGAAAAAATGGGGAGAAAACAAGCATAAATATATATGGGAAACCAAAGTCTTTTCAGGTTTGGTTCTTAGGGTTGTAGAGACATTAGGATATTGTGCAAGCAGAAGACGTGAGAAATGAGCAATCCCCTCACCGGGACTCGAAACAAAGGCCTCTCGAATACGCGCCGAGCGTGCTGACCATTACACCACGAAGGTTTGCTAAGAAGGTGGGAGAAATATCTTATAATGTCTGTAAACACTCCAGTCTGTCCCTGACTTCAACAGAACTTTGTGTTTAATAAGAAAGCAAAACTGGGATACAGATGCTACAACCTGCATGAATGCCATAAAATCCAATGACTGCTATTTTTACAGGACGCGGATAATATTTTTATACAACAGGACAGTATAACATTGATTTTATTACTAACATCTTCTACAGTCATTAAGTTTATTTGAAGCCGGAATGTGAAAATTGTACACCGCCCTCTCCAAAGTTCGAACTCCGGACCTCCCAAATACGCGCCAAATGTGCTACCGTTACACAACGCACGCATGCGGAAAGGAGGGAAAAAATTCCTTATATACTTCCTTTTTTGAAAAGAGACTGTGGATTAGGGGAACCAATCGCCAAATCCTGGTCGTGACGAATTATTGTCCATAACTTTTTAGTTCATGCGCCATTTTAAGAGTCATTAGTTTATTATAAACAGTGAAACAGTAAAAATGTGCAATGCCCTCGCCTGGAGGCAAACCTAGTCCTCTCTAATATGCGCCGAGTGTACTACTGTTACACAACGAAGGCATGCCGGAAGGAGGGAGAAGCTACCTAGTATATCTCTCTTTTAAAACCCTCTAAGCGGCAAGGCCGTATATATACGGCCTAGAATATTTTTTGTGATATCTGTAAGAACGCATATATACGTGCATATTAAAATATGACAAAGAAATTAAGGCAATATATCAAAAGAAACCAAATCCAGGTATGAAATACCAGGAGAGTTTTTACATTAAAATCAAAAGAATAATTTGTTCTTATAGTAGTTTTGGGAAATTTGTGCTTTCTTAGCGAAACCCCTGGTCACTCAGAGGCTTAAAGGGTGACTAGGGATTAGAAGACTCAATTGCTAAATCCTTGGGGCGATGAATTATGTCCCCCATCTTTTGGTTTGAGCACCACTGTAGAATCATTAGGTGTTTTTGAAGCAGAAACATGAAAACTGTACACTGCCCTCGCCGAGGTTCGAACTCCGGATTATCGAATATCCGTCGAGTAGGCCCCAATTAAACCATGAGGGCATGCGGAAGGGAGGGAGAAAATATCTTTTAAGCTCACAGACAGAGCATGTATTCAAGATTTGGCATTATAACTCTTTCAAGAATATAATTTCAGTTAAACATATACTTAAAAAGGAACCAAAACTTAATATTTTCCTGGATCTTTTGTCTAAACACACATTATGTGTTCATTGGAGTATCCTCCTTCCAGGTTTGCTGATTTTAGGATCCGCCTGTATATATTAGGATATGTATAATCACCAGTATTGTTTCATTTTTATTACCATATAAAAACTTTTTACAAATTATATACGGAAAATAAATGTTTGATACGAGAAATATTTATCTCAAAAAAATTTTAGCTGTAATTATTTTTCATGATGACAGATACCTTTGTCATTCTTTGTGACATTTAGGTTGGAGAATGGTCCACAGCGAGACGATTGAACATCACAAATCATAATGTTTTTCATGAATTTGGAACAACAAATATCACTCTCAAAGTGACGACAATTGAGGTAAGCGCCTTTTATAATGCATCATATTTAATGCTACAAAATTGAAGGATTATGTAAACTAACTTAAAGCTATAATATCTATTTTTATTTATACTTTGTATGTGCTAATTTTACTTTTTTCTAATATTTAAACAATATGTGAAGTATATAACCTTTAACGCAAGTTAACTCACAGTAATCGCAGCAAAAGTTTAGAAAGCATAAGAAGAAAGCGAACTTTATTGCCAAAAATAAATAAATAAATAAATAAATAAAACAAAATTCGCTTGCCTCATTTACCTTCATTGTTTGTAACGCCAGGTTCTCCAATAAACCTTTCTCCTTAAAAAGAGGCAAACTTGTCTTTACATATATTTTAACTAAATTACACTATTTAAACATTTTAAAGCAGCTGTTTTAAAATGACATTTTAACTGCCTCTTCTAACGTAGAGGTTTTCTTTATTGACGCTTCTCGGAGCGCGCTCGAATCCAGTCTCGTTCTTAGATCTCAGTCAGAGAAAGAAAAGAGAAAAACGCTCGTCATCTAGTTGCAAGAATGGGACTATTACCTGATATTTTGGATGCGATAGCCAGAAAAGGCTCTATGAAATCCTCATCCAGCTTTTGGTCAGTTCAAGTTACTTTTTTTTAATATTCTTGATTTGGCAGTAATAAATGAATGGATAATTTAGAAGGAAATAACTGATATAAGAAAGTCGTGATTTTATTTTGAATACGGCAGGAGAGCTTCGAAAGATGTAAATTTCATCCAAAATTCACAAACTTTCTGTATCTAACGAAAAGAGAAGTGGTACTTTCGTCAACCCTACCCGTAAGCGTAAACGGTGCCAGATAAATGCATGCAGAAACAAAAAAAAATTTGAATACGTGTGAATACTGTAAAAAAATACGTTACAGCAAAACCGAGCAATGTAATGTGTAATTTTTAATATATTTATTTAATACTGAAAATTTTTATGAGGCAATTTATTAAATGATAAAAAGTTTGAAAATATCTAGAGTGATTTTTCTTCTCTTTCAGCTATTTGTTATATTAAATTATCTTTCGCTTAATAAATTTACTCACTTTACTTTATTTTACTCTTTGTTACATTAAGTTATCTTTTGTTTGCATGTGTTTACTCAGTTTAATTTATTACTTATTAAACAAGCAAAATGTATCTTTACAAGCGTTAACTTTACATAATATTAGCAAAAAGCGCGTCTTTTCTTCTATTCGGAACAAGCGGTCAAAATGACCGCTGATCGTAATTATGGTATACGGAAAACGCCGTACTTCTAGTGTGAAATCCCTTTGTTAATAAACAATAGACAGATTAAACCTTGAAAAAAAATTTAATGTCTTATACTTTACCAAAGCGCAGGCAGCACACTGACGCACAGAAGATTAAAAATATTTATTTCGAGAAGGGACAACAGGTTTCTTTTAAATAACTGAGCTTGTTAATTGAACCTTAATTAAATTGGTACGAAACCTGAAATAAATATATAAATAAACTCGAAAGTCAAGCTTAGGGTTTCGAGGCCCATATGTTTTGGTAAGGACTGTACCTGCTTAACATTTTCTGGCTGCAGGTGCTGTTGTTTTTGCACAGTGCGAAGTACAAACATACGCATATCTATGCATACGGATTTTTCATTATTTAGTAATACTATAGATAACATATTTAGTGCGATTGAAGTAGCTAAGGAATTCGTAATGGACTTTATCTAGTTATATGATAATGTTTAATTAAGTAATTAAATTTAATTAAGTAATATTATTCATTTCAAAGGCTCATGCAATTACTAGTCGTAAATGGGTGGTTAAGTAACTTAAACACAAAGTAAAATCACAATGAATTAAATTTTAGCTACACGACTGGCTCCTTCTCAATCCAAACCGCTTAATCGGCTGCACACAGCAAAGCCGAGCCTAGAATATCAATATAATCTAAAGTAATTGGCTAGCACCAACTATTCAGCTACAAAGCTACTTTCAAACACGCGGCATAAATTCAGAACTAACTCTCCTACCGTGCACTCTTAACCTCTGCTACTTAAATACTATTCCCGAATGCATTTAGATTTGCATTTACGTCATTTAAATTTGCATTCTGGTAGGAATTTGAAATCAGAAGGGAAAAGGAAGTTTCTTAAAATAAAAATAATTGGTTAGAATAAAGTAAGGTCTTTACAGGTTAATTTACTTATCAATCTAATTCTTGAAGCAAGGCGTGATGTTTTATTCCTTGCGCGTGAATGATTTGTATAGTTATCATTCATGTCTAAAAATCCACTTATAAATGTGAATTAATTCTAATGAGAAATAAGCGTAAAATTCGCAAAAATTTAATTAAATTCATTTAACAAATTTTAGAGATTCTTTTATAAATTTCAGAGAATCCTTCCTCGGTTGTAAAGTTTTTCATATGCATATAACGTTAATTTTCGAGAAATTAGTTTCTTAATTTATAGTGACTGGGAGACTAGTCATGCAGTGACTGGCTAGCATAATCCTGCGCGACTTCAAAGCACTAAGTTGCAAATAGCTTCCAGCGATTTGTGCCAAGGCGGAGCTTATCTTAAGCCTGTAACTGTTCGATGCGCCATGTTTTCTTTCAACCATTCTTTGTGTCCTACTTCTAAATCTGGATAAACAAGCTTACAAGGATTCCTTTGCGATGAACACGATTTCCTCACTTCTTTGTACAATACTTCTTTTCATGCTGCCTAACCTTTCTCACTCTTGGTAATAAAATGTTATTCGTATTGAACGCTTCCTGTGGAGCGTTATTCTGCTGTTAAGAAATTTTCCTGCCTTTCGCTGGATATCGATCCCCAAAAAGGAAGCAAAGGCTGGATTTCTCTTTATCAGGCTTTCTTTAGAATTTCGATGAGTTTCTTTCATACAATTTGTGCTTCGGTTTTTAACTTGTTTAAAGGTACCAGAATATTGGAAAACACAGAAGCTAGGTATAGGTATATTTATCCTGTTGCTTTCAGAGCCAAAAGAAATGTCTTAACCGGTCACTGCAAATTATCAAATCATGATATAACTCTTTTTTGATTTTATACGTTCATATACATCATCAGATATGTACGCAAAAACATTAAATTTAGAGTATAATTTAGTTAAAATTAATAACTCGAAGTTTAGAACTTAATATGAATTAACAGTAATTATGTCTTATAAACGCTGATTAATGTAATGTTGAGACGTTCATATTATGTTGATTGTTACATTATATTAAAATTACAGAAAAATATATACACGTATTAACAAAAAAACCTTTTAATTATATGTTTGTATCGAACTTAAATATAGGTTAATATAATCATATATATCGTAGGCTAGGTTATCACAGATTAATACATTTTTTCACATCAATAGCTGCCGAGTTACCTAGAGTACTGAAAAAAAGTCAAAGTAGTGACCCTTAACGGACATGCATATAACACAACGGCTAGTGGTTGATTAAACAACCTTAATCAATGTGCCTGCAGGGACTTCTGCATGCGCCGCTGTAACTTCTTGACGATAGGCCTACAGCATAAATTGTTTTCTGCGTTACATAACATCCTGCAGTGTCCCTTAAGGCCATTTTGATTTGTGATCATACGTCATAAGTCATATATTTCTGTCATGAGAATACTGACATACGTTGAGCAAACAACATACTTTATATTGTAAACGTATTTCGCTTCGATTTCGAAACCAATACGTAGACATTATCTGTTAACGTATGCATCTATTTTTCTCACAAAACCTGCATACTTTACAATTTTATTGACGCTTGAAGATACACTCATATGCTTGACGCTTTTAAAACAAGACTTTGAAATTATCATGTGCATAAAACTGCTTTTGAGTACTAAAACTATAATAAATGCATAGATAAGATTTGCTGTTAAGATAAATATGATATGGTTAAGATAGATTTGTTGTGAATTGTACGTAGACATTATTAAAGAAGTCAAACAAGAATCAGCATAATATTTGTCAAATTTGCGAGACTAGTTCTGATGGTTTAATTAAGAGCCACCTTCCTTAGCTGCCTAAGAGTAAATAACGAGAAAAGATACAGTGATAAGAATGGTTGGACACTAGTAAAGCTACTGGCGACATCTATTGATGAAACAAGAAAACTAAAACATAGTTTCCTTAAAGGCTGAAGGTAAAGACGAATTGGAATTAGGATCGTACACTAGAACGGGAAGAATTTTTTGAAGGTGAAATGCCTCTAGAAAATCTAATTCACCAATGAAAGTTTTTTTCTTTTTTGAATAATTTTGCATGCAGAAAAATGGAAAGTGTGATTTTCAGACCGACAGTGCTGGGCAACAGAAATCTTCTGTACTTCATTTTTCCTGAGATACGCCTCATATTCTTTAGCGCGAAATTTTAAGGATGTATCAGTTTGATTTATGTAAATTAAACTACATTGGCAAGGAATCCTGTGAATACACCAGGAATTCATATTTGGAATGGGTTCCTTAGGGTCTAGAGTTTATTTGTTTTGGTACATCATGCACTGAATCCACTATTTATTAAAATTAAAGATGTAGGACATAAAGAGATTACAATAAAATTTCGGTATAAATTGCAATTTACAAATTAAACTGAGGACATTTGTTTTTAACATGTCATTTTTATAACTGTGAATAATGCTTTCAATCCATTCGAAAAATTTGTGCGCCTGTTTTACAAAAATTTGTGCGCTCTTTATACATTGAGATTTTTTTTAAACAAAACAAAATCAAAGATATGCAAAGCATTCATATGCAAAAACAACTCAATATCATACATTAATATAATGAATACATCTATAATACTTAGGAATAATGATTTCTCATTGAGTGTTCGAGCATTGTTCCACGAACACTTGCGGCAAGAACATTGTACTCAAGCACAACCTGATCCTTGCTGAGAGACAGGAAAGGCTTAGATTGCTGACAAATAGTAATAACCCCGAGCACTTTCTTCCCATTCTCTCTGCTGAGCCTTTCTAGTTTCCCACAATTTATTTGAAATATGTTGAGTTAGAAACAATGTCGAGAAGATATTGACCGCTAGGAGAATAGCCTAACAGACTCGACAGATTCGTATGCGCATATTAAATGTATCTGATCAAATTTCAATATAGTGTACATTATATTACATACTGCGCACCAAAAAATAAGAAGAGTTCTATATTTTTTAGTCTACTGGACCGATTGACGAAATTTAACCTGCATTTTTCATGTCTCGAAAGCTCGACTTAAAATATATATATCAGATTCATATATAACATTGTTCTAACTTAAGTATTTTGATACTAAATCGGATTTCTTTTGCAATATCATACCGATTTTTTTCCGTATTTCTTTACTACTACTCAAATTATGCCACACTGCACGAATCATCACTGTGGCGTAATTTGAGTCGTAACCATCGCACGAATAGTTCTTAAAAATTAGCTTTCAAAATTTTAACTCCCCAAAGTTAATTGAAATTGATGTATATTTATTAATATATCTTTTTTATTAATTCCTTCTTTCACAGTTCAAAATTTAGGTTCACTGCTATTTTTGGTTAAGAACGAACTAGCTAGGAACGAGCAAAAAAAAATGTAACATATTTTAATACGTTTTTGGTTTAGAATTTTGTATGCATCACTAAATTGTGTTACAGAAGAAACATTTTGAATATTTCGGAGGAATAAAACTTGATGGCTAATTATAATATACATCATTGATATTCATCCGTTTACTAAAAGGCACACAGTTTCTTCCTCAAAAATGTTCAGTCGTAAACATTAGTGAAAATGTTTTAAAAGTTTAGAATAGAGACGTGAGAATTTTATTTCTGAGCAGGAGATTAAAAATATGAAAAATGAATAAGAAGAAAATGATCCAATCGCCCAATCCTGATGGTGAATTATTTTCCACCACCTTTTAGTCCGTACTATACCACTCTAAAGTAATTAGGATTTTATTTCTGAACAGTAGATGTAAAAAAATGGGCAATGCCTTTGCAGGGACTCGAACTGATCTTCCGATTTCTCCCCAGACTTTTTTAAATACACCAAGAAGGCACGCAGTGTGGAAGGAGAATAATCTTACAACGTGCATATACATCTCCTTTTTGCACAATTTATATTCTCTTCTATAATAAATCAAAAAAACGTCAGAACAAAATTATGAGTGAAAAATAAAGTTTTTCGTAAAAGGAACAAAGAAAATAATAATAATATTTTTTTTGCGAATGAATGCCAATAAATTATTTCTAACAATCTCGAATCTTTAATCTATCTTTCTGTAGTTATGAACCTTGTTCATCTGAGCAACAGAAATATTTCGTTTTCAAAAATTATTAATAAATTCATAATTTTTTATTTTGCAGCGTCGATGTAATCTATGAATTATTATTGTGCATGAATATCTTTATCAAATGGTCTCGTATAAATAAAGAGAAGGAAAAAATCTTACAATTATGATCATTTTAAAGTACCACAGTCAGGTAGAAGGACTCTTCGAAATCGAATAGCAAATGCGAAATTTCAAAAGAACACGAAACATATATCTGTGAGAAATAAAAGAATATTCAAAGAAACGAATACTTTTCATTCCCATAGTTACCAGTATTGTTACGAATTTTGTATAATGTAATATGAACGACTTCAAGAAAAGCGAAGCTCTGAATAAGATTACAGGTCCAAGTCTATTTAACATTGATGTAAATGGCCAACTCGCTCAACTGACGAGATATCGCCAAGCTTTTCTCCCTAAATTTAGCAAGAAATTACCAAAAGTCGCCAAACAAGGCAGACATTTGATAACTTTTTTGTTCGATTCCTCTATAACTGTAACTAATTCTCTAATTTATCCCTATATGTAACTGTAACCGAATCCGGTCCTAACATGTTACTTTAACCGTGCATCCATTGCAGTAATTTTAGAAAATGAGAAGTTCTAGAGATTTCTCGGAGGCCATGGGAAAACTATGTGACACCGGAGACAGCATCAGTTCTCAGCTTTTCAGTTCAGAATACACCTTAAGAATATTGAGGGATCTCCGTGCGAACTTCGCTTTGCATTGCGTTGGGTTTAACGTTATTATGTTATTATTAGTTTGAAGCGGTAACTACGAATTGTGCTGTATTAGACTGAGAAGAGCTGTACGAGTATTTTCTAGAAAGTTCCAGAACTCTACACTGATTCTTTGAGAAAAATAAATTTTATCAAGCTATCATCCATTCTGTGTGTATTCAGTCATTACTAACCCATACGCAGGCAGCAGTATGTAATTAATATAATATAACTAGGTAGTCAATACCTTATCATTTTCGAGTATTATCTGCAGCTGATTTGTAATCAAAATAACTTATATTTATTACTAAAAACATATTCTCCTACTTTCTTTGATCAAAATAACTAGTATAACTATCATTTAACTTAAATAACTAATATTTCACTTTCCTTTCTAGTCCACGCCTTATGTAATGGTAAAAGCCGACAGGAATTTGACAGGAAATGAGAGATTCGAAGGTTTTTGCATCGATCTTTTAAAGACAATTGCTGACCTCATAGGATTTAGTTACGAACTTTACATAGTGCCTGACAAAAAATTTGGAGCTGAAAATACCACAACAGGAGAGTGGAATGGTTTGGTGAGAGAAATAATAGATAAGGTAAATTTTTTATTAAACGTTTTCTGTTTGTATCAAAATTATCCTTAATCCTAATTCCGCTTCTAGTATTTTTATGGCTTATGAAAGCATAATTTAGACAAAATTATATTTATATTTTATTGAATTTTCAGTTAATTAATGGTAAATAATAAGAGAAAGTTATGTTGCTATACTCTTGTTGAAAGTCTATAATTTTTTGTAATTCCTTAAAATCTATTAAGTATATTTTTTGCATATTTGCAACTTTTTCATTGAATTTCGAAGATGATACTTGCCACTTGGAAGAGATATAACTAAAAAAATGAGAAATAAATTTTGAATCGTGTAGTGTTATTTAATCGAATATAATTCATAAATTCATTCTTTGTGGGTGTGACTAAAATTAATCTTAGAGCATAGAAAACATATAAACATTTTTGCCAGAAAGTAAAGGATAATAATGCTCGAAGAAATGGTTGGTGTGAACTATCAACAACGCCCTGAATAGAAAATTCGATATAGAGAATAAAAGAATGTTAACAATCTGATTTGAGCAGTTGCTTTGTTATAAATATTGTTACGAAATGTCTAGCCGCGGTAAGATAGCTTCCCCGCAAAGCAGGTTTAGGGTTGCCAGAAAGTGGGACGGGAAGACAGGATTGCCACATTTGGTGAGAAATCGCCCACTTGGCGAAAAAATAAACGATATGGCTTTTGAAACCAATTTTTACTGGTTTAGCCCAGTTTTTGTTTTCGAATACAAGCCAAAAGCTACATAAACCCTGCTGGTAAGCGGAGAGTTAGTCCGTGCGGACTCGATCGAGTTGATAGTCGGTTCGCGATTTAGTGTCTAGTGCTGAGTTGGTCGTCGAGTGCACCGAAAGAGCCTCTTAGTGTATCGCGAGTTAGTGCACCATCGAGTTTGATCTAAGTGTGTTGAACTCCGGGAACGACTGAACCGAGGAGTCGGGAGCTGTACTCTAGTGTATCGTCGAGTGCATCGCGAGCTGTAGCGTGGAGAGTCTGGAGAGTACGTGGAGTTCCGAGAACGACCTAGCAGAGTCGGGAGCTGTACTCTGGTGCTTTGCCGTGAAGCTGTCTCCACCGTTATCGCCTGATAGTGTGAAGGCTGTGTCGCTAATTGATTCAGCATATTTATAGTAGTTCTTCGACAACTGTAAAAGTGTTATTGCTGCTGTCTTGAACAATACTGGCTAGTAAAGTGTGTTTTGATACTTCATCAAGTGCTCCAAATCCGCGAACCGTGTAAGAACGTAAATGAAGGAAGAAAAAAGTAAAATACTATTAACCCTTAAATTCATGTATAGCTGCCATTTGGCAGCATAGTCATATTTAGTCACGTAAATCAATCGAAACCCAAATTTTAGCTCACTGCGTAGTGTAACTAACTGGGTACATACTGTTTACGTAAACGTTTCAGTGTGGTGGCACCACTAACGGTGTAACGGTCATTATTGTGAGTTGACGTGTAGGAGGTGGACATCATTTTTATTTACGAATTTTTGATTTTGTGTTTGTTGTTAATTTGACGTTTTAAAAATGTTTGAACAAGTTTAGAATTTATGTATTTTTACATAAAATTGTTATTACACATTTCCCTATCACATTTTTTTTTCATAATGTAGCCACTTGACAACAATAATACGTTTTCAAAAATTGGAATTAAATCTCTGTTTAGATTTTTTTCATATTTTTCCTATTTCTTTTGATATTAATTCTAATGTATTTTTGACTTTCATGATAAAAATAAAAATAAAAATTCATGCATTTAAAGGGCTAAACTTTCAATGCTTCCGTGAAAACAATTAGCACTCAATTATTTTAAAATTAAAAGTGAGTGTAAATATTTGTAATGTAGTTGTATTAATTTGGGATTTTAGAAGCAGGAAATGTTAAAAAACATCACTGCTCTCCCTGGGTATCGCCTCCAGACCTCTCAATGCTAGCCAGACGTGGTGTTCAATTACATCATGAAGGCACCTGGTAAAGGCGGAAAAATATTTTACTTTGTAATTAGACGCAAAACTTCTGCATGCACTGAGTCCAGTAATATAAGTTACCTATGGCAAATAAGAAACATTTTTTTTTCAAATTATTAAACGTTTTGTATTTTACTTTAGCATAGTTTTCCATTTTATTTCACCACAATAGGACACACGAATTTCTCTCTCGGCTTGATAGAATACCATCTGCAACGGAACGTATGTTTTAACATTTTTGCCCTCGCCATAGTCAAGAAAACATCGGTTATTGAATACTGTGCAGGAAAGTTCAAACATCATTCTATGTATTAGCTATTACGGCGATAAATGTGTTTTCAGCGAAATATTTTCACCAAACTTTAGTTTACTATTTCTCAATTTACTTGACTTATTCAACTCGTAACATTACCGATGAATTACCGGTGTTTAAAAAAGGTAACATTACATCTCAGAGTTGGTTGTCATTACCCCTTTAAATGCGTAGAGAGATGCGTTAATATCTTTTTCCTATGGCAGTTGTGGTTCGTGAATAGATAAAAGAATTAACGCTATAAAAACACATCACATGGCTGCTTAACGGAGCTCAAATTCTGGTTTGTTTTATTATTTTATGTGGTTAGGGCAAAGCCTCTAGGACTAGACTATCGGTCTATGAGAGAGGTGCATTATATATATATATATATATATATATATAACCGATGTTTGCTTACTATATTTATGTATATATATATATATAGAAAGAAAGCATTCTCTTTGATTTCATTGTACTCGGAGGAATTCGAATATTTTAATGAATGTGGACTGAAAAAAGTACCATATTTGCATGCACTTTACTTAAATTTGTAAAACATGCAGAAACTGCGCAAGCAATTTTATAATATTTAAAGAAAAATCTGGATAAGCGAAAGGAATACAATACTTTATTCAAACTCATTAAAGCTGACGTCGAGAAATGACACATTTAACAGCGACGGTGAAATTGCTATCATAAATATGGCAGCTGGGAAAGAACGTAAACAATTTCTGAAAGTAAAACCGCAAAGCTCGAGCAGAAAACTACTTAATCTTCCTAATAAGGACTAATTTAAAAGTTTAAGGTAAAAAGAAATAACATATGGTATCATCAAGCAAAATTTAGGAATGTAAGCTTGAAAAGTGACATAATTTAATGTATGGAAACAAATTACCTAATCCAAGAAAGTCATTTAAATATTTGCATCAAGTAATCTAATAAAATATAAACTTAAAAGTATAGTTAATGATTACAGGCTTAAGTTACTGCCCTAATGCATTAAAATATTCCGTAAAACATTATATATGAAATTAATATAATTTCTCTTTTTCAGAATGCGGATCTGGCTATGGCTCCAATGACAATAAATTATGCACGAGAGAGTGTTATAGATTTTACGAAGCCTTATATGAATCTCGGAATTGGTATTCTCTTCAAACTCCCAAAGAGTATGCCATCGCGCCTTTTCTCCTTCATGAGTCCCTTGGCCGTAGACATTTGGCTTTACGTGCTGGCTGCGTATGCCCTTGTCAGCTGTTGTATGTTCATTGTGGCCAGATTCAGTCCCTATGAATGGCAAAATCCCCATCCCTGCGTCAGCGATTGCGATATTATGGAGAATCAGTTCAGCTTGGCGAACAGTTTTTGGTTCACCATCGTTACCCTGATGCACCAGGGCTGCGATCTGAATCCCAAGGCGACTTCCACGAGGATCATCGGCGCCATGTGGTGGTTCTTCACACTCATTATGATTTCCTCCTACACTGCCAACCTTGCTGCTTTTCTGACTGTAGAAAGAATGATAACGCCTATAGAGAGCGTCGAGGACTTAGCAGAACAAAATAAAATAGCATATGGTACACTGGAAGGTGGATCGACCATGACTTTCTTCAGGGTAAGATTCTCAATACTCTTTAGATTAATAAATATATCCCTAAATTTCATTACACGAATTCGATTTATTAGATTACGGACAAGCACATTATAAGATATGCCTTCGTAAAAACCGTTCTGAAAGATACGTTTATTTTCGTTACACGGAGCAAACCATGAAAACAGCCTATCCAACTGATCTGTTTGCCTAGATTTGAATCCGGTGAACTAGCATTATGTTGCTGAATCGATGATCTCTGAAAGTGTAAGCGATCAGAGGTCCTTTTATTTTGACCTTTGGTGGAGTCCGTTTTGCACTCATTACAAGGCTTCACTCATTTGGATATATGCATTTAATACGCTGCAATGATAGCATGGGAGTTAGGTACAATCACTGGTAATGGATATTAAAAGTTGTAACGTTTAGTATGATTTAAAACCACTTTTAAGTTTCATTATACTCTATCTATCTATGATTTTGTGGGCGCAAACTGAATTGTCACCAGAAGATATTAATTAACTGATGGAGAAGAAAAAGAAATAAATATCGAATACAAAAAGACGCGCGTTATTTGTGAATTCTACTAATTTGCTAGTATCTCTTGCGCTGAAGCTAAAGCTGATGCGTTCGTCCTACCCTGTATTAGCATGTTTGAACCTGAGGTAAGTTTAGATTATTAGGTATATTTAGAAATGGATCCTTTTAATTGCTGCAAATCACACTAGGGTTATGAAGACATGCCTTTGTAGAATACGTTTAAAGAGAAACTGAATCGTATTCTCAAGTTATACTTGGGAAATACCATGAAAGATCCCATGCCAGCAGCGCATTCACCTGAACTTGAATCCAGGTCGAATTCCCAGTGCTCAGCGATCTTACTACATAACCACTGATGCATCCTAGATTTTGATAAGTGAAAAGTTTTGAATTTACATTGGTTTTTACTAAATCGGCGCAGTGGTTTTATTGCTTTCGGTCAGTCAACAGTAATTTTTTATGAGTTTCTCAGACAAGAGGTCAGTTCAAATTCTTATGTAAGAAATATTTTGTTTAATGTTTGTAAATATTCTGTTTTGTGTACTTCTAAGTTACAGTTGAATGTGAAGAATCTTAAGAACTAATAAGCGAATAATCGCTTGAATTCGTGGGGTAAAAACAACAAGTGAGAAGGGTGAAATAACCCTTCATTATTCGAACTAAAGTTTAACAGAACTCCGTCTTGGAGTTGTACAATAAAGTCAACACTCGGGCTTGAACTTAAGAAACTAAGAATTAAACTAAACTAATCTTAACTGAAGAGATACAGACGAAGCTATCAAACTTTCTAACGGAGTTGGCCTCTTAATGCTAATTGACTGCCAAGCTATCAAGGGTCTAGAGTATAAATGTGTTTCCAGCGAAGTAGTTCCAGCGAGCATAATAGTAGCTTAGTAGCCTGAAAATGCGGACGCGTGCTAACCAGAATCTCTGGTTCTCTCTAACTAAGACAGTAGAAGTTCGAGGTTAAATACCGCTCTTCCTACATTTGCATTCAAACGTGATTCTAAAACTGCGTTCTGGCCGGAAGTGGTAAGTTGGAATTCAGAAGCGACAGGAAAGAAATTTTAACACAAAATTTATCTGTTAATAAAATTAACATAATCCTTATATGGTATATAATCTGCAAAACAATTTTTCTCATTTCTGCAAGGAAATTTGCTTCTTTTCTCCTTTCTTAATACGCATTTGTGATGTAATTGTTAGCACATACAGCTGGAAGGCGGGATGTCTAGATTGAATCACATATTAACAAGACGTATTTATTATGTTTTCCGTTATGAAAGCAGTGTAATAACGTTTCAAACAGTGTAATAACTTTTCAGTGTAATAAAGTTACTGAAAACTCTGTCGGTCCGTCGCACAAATGGTGTTGTGGTGGGCGATAATTCGTTACGATTTGGATATGATCAGTCGCATTGTATAGGCGATTATAAACAAATTTTAATCTAGGCCAGTTAATTTCTCAGGTTTTTTGTAGAAAAATATAATATTTCTAAGGTTATATTTTAGCTTGCTTGCTACTTAATGTTATCGGTAGACTTTAGATTTAGACACTAACTCTATTATCATCTCGTCTTTGTTAATAGACTGTTCGGGTAAGTTAAAGTTCAGTTAGTTTCTAAGAGAAGGCTACATTTCTCTTACTTATAATAACACAAAGAACTTTGTATAGTCTAACACTCTAATAACTGATAAATGCTATACACAGCGTATAGTAATTTCTGTAGTTTTCGAGAGAAAAATCAATTAACAATCCTGCCAACAGAAAACCTCAGTTGCTAATCTCTAAACTTCCAATCAAGCACAAGGCATAAATAAACATGTAAGAAGAACACAGCAAAACATTTCTCCAACAACTCAACCTTAACGACGCTTCGCATGTTCCTTAATGTGTATTTAATTTTTATAGCTTAGAAAAAATTTTATACATGAAAAAAAGGATGATAAATAACTGAGCAATGAGTAAATGTTAATTGTTTAGTCGAATTGTATGTTACAGTTGTGAAAATGAAAATTTACTTTGGAAATGTTATAACGCACAGTGTACAAAAATAGCAACATGAAAATGAGCATCCATAATGAGATATAAAAAAAGAGATGAGAAATGGTGTGTAACGATGTAGCTGGAAATGGGTCAGATAAACAACAAAACATATGAAATCGTATGCTGTATTGCCATCCCCGGCTGAAATAGAATATATAATGCATAAGGACTACCATGATTAATCCCTGCTATCCAATTATTGCGAGTGAACGTACTGTTTACATTCCTTAAGGGCTTGACGCCCAGACTGTTTTCCTGTCACATCGCCCATTAGTACATTAATAGAAAATGGGTGTGTAAGCTTAATTATAAGTAAAATTTGAAATTTGTAATCAGAATAAAATAAATGTGTCGGTGTTCCATGCATAAAATAGTTAGTTCAATTACAAGACACAAAACGTTCAAGCTCGTTCAAGCATGAAGCAATCTATTCAGTTCGTTAATGAAAAAAATGAGTTCTCCTTAATAGGCATTCAAAGTTGTCAAAGTAATAATGCTTACAGTAATAACGTTTATAGTATCTTATTTATGCTTTATGGATATAAAAAGTAAAACTTTTAATAAACAATAATTTTTGTAAAATTAAAACTGCATAATTATAATATTATGGGATAACAATGATTTTAACCGGTATTTATAGTGGTTTAATCGCCGAAATCTCCATTGATCTGGTTCAAAATCTTACACACATTCGTACTTGATATCTCAGCCTAATATAATCATGATAAGGAATTATATTATTTATTCAAACATAAGAACTTTATATTTTTCTTAGAAAGAATACCCTAGAAATTGAAGTGTTTTGATTACGGCTACATAAACAAGATATTTTTCTGAGAAAAATGGGACTGTTTTGAATGTGAAACATTATATCATGAGAAACTTAAATGAAGAAACACTTCTGTTCCACAGATCCAATAAAAACAACAAAGGCCAACGTTTTGGCAATGTACATACCAATATGACAAAAAAGCAATATATAACTTTTCGATTCAAGGCGAACGGTTTCAGAACTAATATTTACTTGTCCTATGAGCACTTCTTCCGAGCGGAGATAAAGGCTACCTACCTGACATTGCGATAGCAGAAATAGCAAGTGAGTTGTAGTTACAATCATCATTGCGCCATACCATAGATAGATTAACTCTTCCTTAAAATGAAGTTTTAAGAAAGTCTAGTAATATAGTGTTGAAATTTAATGCTTTTTCACAGTTCTTTTTAAGAATAATTGATAGAAACTTGTTGAGTGATACACTTGAAAATAGTTTTTCTTGCGCAGCAAAACTCAAAAATATGAATTACTTATTTGAAAGTAAATAAGTGGAAATATTTTGCGTTTTTATCGGTCCATCTTCGTTACCTCGTCAGAATGCATATGTATTGTGTACGGGTTGGATGTTAGAAACCTACAAATTAGAATGCAAAAGAATATGTTCAACATATTCTTTTGCATTCTAATTTAGTTATTATTTAATTCTAATTTAGTTATTATTTAATTCTAATTCTAAGTTAAAAAAGGGCAACGAAAAAAAAATTCAAGATAAATTAATCTTTTAACTGATTTTTTTATCTGCTGCTGAAATCAGCACAAGACGAGTTCTAAGTCACGGCTACCTAGCGTAAGAAATTAACGAAGTTGATGAAAGAGTAATTTTGAGATTGAATATAATTTTAATAGCTTTGACACGTAAAATGGAAAAGACACAGATATTAAAAAATATTATAAGGAGGTTTTCGATAGCTAATCAGTGTTATAAATGTATCATAATCTCATGCACAATTTATTTAAAACGCGTCTTTACGTGGTGGACTGGATTTTTATGAAGCGCTTTACATTTACAAATGTTTAATTTCTTTAGTTAAAGGATTTAAATCCAATCCAGTCCTTCTAAGGCTTCTAAAGTTCTACTAACTTAATTTTTCAATTTCGTTGCTATTTGTGGCCACACATGGCGGTGCCTGCTCAGTTCCTTTACTACCGTAGGGTTTAAATACGATTTTTTTGTTCCTGATGAAGAGAACCTGTACTTGTTTGTCTTTTGAATTTGATTGACATTTTTACTAAATCAACGCCAAATATAAGCTTGTCGCTTTTCTAATCTTATTATAAGAATGTGCTTTTGAAATTTATTACATGATTTTTGAGTTTGCTCTTCTTTTAATTATTTATTATATATGATTATAAATAAATCAAAATATATATACACATATTTATATATTTATAACATTAAATAAGAAATATATTCAAAAGTTTCTGATGCAAATGAACAAGAAATAAAACATTAAACTCTATTTATGAAACTATAGGAAGAGTTCGGTTATCTTCGATTTATCCATCACTGTTTGATAAACGAAACTGAGTTCTAGATCTTAAGAAAGGAGAATTTAAAATTAAAATCTTATGACTCTGAAGGGAGATCTAAAACTATTTTATTTA